AGGGCACTGCTGCTGTTAACAGGTACTGATGGAAGTGTCGACCCCTTGCCAATTCCATTGGAATTCCAAAAAATTTGGATTTGGGTTCGACTTATTCCTCCCATATTTTTTACGCCAGCAATGAGGGAGAGATTAAGGAATTTTTTATGTACTTTTGTTAAGGTGGACCGTGGCTTAAACGGGGACTGTTTGTGCCTAATAAATCACGGCCATAAACTAGGCCGAAGGAGCCCCTTTTTCCTCGGCCCTAGCACTTTCTCGAGAAGCTGAAACGCAGCGTTTCAACAAGGTGCTTTGCCTTCCTGAAAACTGAGGAAAAATGCAAAGGCATGATCATCTCGGCCTCGATTATAGGCCGAGGCCGAGGCCGAGCGAAGTCGCGGCCAGAAGTATTAAAGTCAAATCATCACGTGATAGGCAGGGTCCCATGCTTCATTTAATGAAGTAGTGCCTGTTTAATGCAGCAAACCCACTGGCTGCGAATAAGCATTTAATGCATGAGGGAAGGTGGGAAGTGATTGAAGTCAGAATTTGGCGACAAGGATCAGAGTGATTAGACGCCAACATTCTCACAAAGCTCTTTGCAGCTTGAGAGATTAGGTGACCAGCCATCAGAGCAATAAATGCGTCTCCACGGCCAGAAGCGCAGAACTCACGATCAAGAACGGCGGCCGAGATTCACCAGGATTTTAAGGGGTCACAACACCTTACTTCACGATCCCAAATGTCGATTGGACTGCCCACTTGCTCTAATCAGGCTCCACCACGCAGGATTTCAGCCTCGATTACTCATCCAGGAACCCCTCCTATAAATACAAGACTCAGGACCACGTTCAAAGGGTTCAAACACCAAACAAAAGCCTCCCACGGAGCAACTTATATTTTCCTGTAATGCACTTTCAATATTTTACTTGCATTTCTAGGAGTAGCGTTAGTATGTAAGAAAATCCATTCATCAATATATCATACGACCCTTGATCTTCAAGGCGCCGGAGCACCATCCTTGTTGTTCGTTCACTCACCCCATATATCATACGACCGTTGCTCACTGAGCAGCGCGCCGGAGCACCGCCCTAAACCCACCAACACCACCACTCGACGGCCTTGTAGTTCAGGCCGTGAACCTACCAGCCGAGACTAGTTCCTCTCTCGGCTACAATCGTTTGATTAGAAGACGAGTTCAAACAAGCGCACCATTTAAATACTTTCAACCACTTCAAACATCTCGACGCACGGTAGACCGTGCTGGCACGCCCGCACACAACCGCACCGCACCCAAAAGCAGGAAACTGCGTGTCAACGCATATCCCCTCGGCCTGGAACCCCAGGCCGTGAGATTTGCGCGGCAGACACTTTTGGCACGCCCGGTGGGATACTTGTCAAAACTTATGGTGGAAACGAGGGCACAGGCAAAGCTCAAAAACAAGGCAGTCGAAATGACTTCTGAGACTCCTGAGTCCACCTCACCAATCACTATCACTGAGACCGAACAATCGGTCGGGATCTCGGCCAGCGTTCCAGTAACGACGGATCGTACGGCCGAGGCCATACAGGAACAGGCAGTAGTGGAGGAGTTAATGTCCAAGCAGGCCTACAGGATAGAAACGTCCTTCATGGCCGCAATGGACAGATTCTCCTCGGAGCTGCGAACGCTTTTTCAAGAGAGGATGCTGGTAACCTCCCCCGCGACACCTCCCAGAGCCGGATCAAGGAGCCAAGAGCGCGAGAGAATCGAGCCTTATGGCGAAACCAGCAGCCTCGGCGTATCAGCCCACGCCCAAGCATCAGGCTACGGCCAGCATCCTTTGCCGCCGACAAACAGCTGGGGGCAGTCCCAGCCCACGTGGGCGAATCCTGGACCAACCCATCTGGCAAAGACAACATGCGGCCCACTCCACGCTTTAGCCAAAGCATTAGGACGGAGTAGCCCTGCGGTGTCTACAGCCGAGCAATTCGGCCCAACCCATAACTTGACCGACCAGGTGCCGTCCGACCAGGGCAACGCAACCGAAGTATCACCACAACAATACGATCAGAAAGGTTTGACTGCTGCATTACCGGTGCAAATACACGATCCGGCCATTCTGACGGTAACGCAGACTCACCTAGCTTCCGATTATAATGCAGATCAACAAAACCAGGGGGCCATACCTTGGTGGCCAGCGGACCAAGTGAACCTCTGTCAAACCCACGGCATTCCTCCGAAACTACCCGGCTCGGTCGCAGCGGCCGAGCCCTTTGCTCAAACGGCCCAGCAGGAATGGCCGCGAAACGTTGCATAGCAAAGTAGGCCGTTTCGAGGGTTTCAGTTCGAAGACATTCGGCCTATCTTGAAAGACGATTTAATACAGGGGGAGCTGGGGGCACCAAATTACCCAAGGCCGTGCCTGTCAAGGGAACCTAGTGATGCGCACGATTTATTTCCTAAGGTTTTCTGGGCACGCCGCATCGCAAAAAATTCGGCCGTGGGTACAACTCCTTATGTCTTGGCCAACGGCCATGACCCTGGTAAACTATTAAAGCGGAGGGTTCGATTTCTTCAAAGTATCGGGCAGCATGGCCAAAAGAAGAAGGACTACTCGCGAATGATGCCCAGGAGTTCAAAGAATTCAGAACAATCGAAACTCGACGCCTACAACTCGGCGCAAGTTCAAAAGAAGATGGCGCCGAGGACCTACGACAAAAAGGTTAAGAAAAAGAAAAGGAGGTAGGTGAGCGAGTTAAATAAACGGTGCGGTCAGTAATAAGCGAAAAGACATGCATTCGGTCATTCAGAAAAGAAGGGGCTCCACCCTATTTTTTTAGTTTGAGAAGTTATCTATACAAAAAGTTAGAACGACCAGTTGAGGCCGAAACAATACATATATACGTATATCTGTGTACGGTACAAAAGATAGGAAATAGATGTGTAGATAAAATAAAATGTATGTGTATACTTATTACATCCCAAAAGAAAAATAAATAGTTAAAAGCAGCCGCTTTTCGCTCGCCTAGACCCCCTCGCTGAACATCCCCCAGATTAGGCAGGTAATCCTTCTCCAAGAGATGTCCCCGCCATTGATGTCCGCCTGCCACCTCGCCCGGATCAGCTTCCGCTCGGCCAGCGCCTTTTTCGTCTCATTCGCCGCTTTGAGGATTTGCTTGCCCGAAGATTTCAGATCAGCCCCGGTCGCAACTGCGCCATCTCGGCGTTGGAGTATGAGATCTCGGCGAGCCTGGAGCTCGGCAATCTGGGCCTCGACCTGCGCAAGCTCTTCATTCTCTCGTTGAACAACGAGGTCATTCTCTTTCAGCCGGGCCATTACAGGGTGGACTTGTTCTTTGATTACCTCCAGATCTTGCTCGAGCGAGCTCCCTTCGGCCATCCTCATAACGGCTTCAGCGTACCGGCCGATCATCTCCTCGCCTTCGGCCAGACGGGCTTGCAGTTCATCCAGCTGAGCCGAGTCGAGCAGACCGAGCGCCATGGCCGTAACCAAGCAAGTCCTAAACTCCATAATCGCCCCGGTAGCGGTCATTTGTTGGACGTCAAGGAGAAGGAATTCTCGGAGCCGTTCGATGACGGTCTTGGAATCCTCGTCCAGGGGAGCCGGGGCCGAGCTACCTCCTTCCACATGGAGGCTGGCGTATAGCTCCTCGAGATCATCAGAGGAGGTGGCCTCCTACACATAAGAGAGAGGTTAAGTAAGAAACAACCGGCCAGGACATAAGGAGATGACTAAAAAGGGTCGACTAAATACTCACAACGAGCGAGAGGTCGGTCATGACTGCCGAGGTAGTTCGCAGGAGACTCGGCACACTCACGACCGTGGCTCCAGTTCCGAATCCTGGGACGACGGCGCAGGGGGCATGGTCACAGCAACCGTGGATAGCGTCAGCGACGGCTGGAAGAAAAAGTTCGATCAGAAACATAGTGCAAAATTCTAAAAAGAAAACAGCTAAGTCAGGCCTAAGGAAAGCGAACTCTTACTGAGCGAAAGACAATGCCGCTTGGACGACGAGGAGTGGACGGTAATGGCTCAACTGGCACGAGAGAGGCGGCCTCTTCGATGACCTCCTCGGCATCCTCGTCGACAGCTTCCTCGGCAACCTCCTCGGCGACCTCCTCGACGGTTTCCTTGGCTATCTCCTCAGAAGGCGGCACTTCTGCGGACGCAGACCCAACATCCAACATCTCAACCACTGCCTCGACCAGCTCCTCGGTCGTAACTTCCTCCTCGACCACTCTCTGGGCAGCGGCCGCTTCCTCTTCGTGCGGCATCTCGGTCGCAGCCTCCTCCTCGACTATCACCACGTCTTGAGGAACTAGCCAGATTACCAAAATGCATAAAAAGGGGGGAAGGAGGTGACTTAGAAAATAAAGAAAGGAAAAAGGAGGCCAAGGAGAAATACTAGCGGCCACAGGGGGAGTTTCCCTTACGATCACAGGAGGGACTTCCTCCTCACTTCCACCTTCCGAAAAAGTGAAGAGGGTCCTCTTCCTCGGTCACTCCACTGTCGCCGGCTCTACCACGGAGAGATGAGATAACTAAGGACCAAGTAGCTTTGAGAGGCCGGCAGAGAATAATGATAGAAAAATAAATCGAGCAAGGCTTACCAGGGGCAGCAGTCGGGCGAGCCGACGGGGAGGACGACACGGTCCTGTGCGCCAGCGTCTTTCGCGCCCCCACAACAGGCGTCGCCTTGGGAGCTGGGGCCGCGGTCGAGGCTGGGGCCACCGTCGGAGCTGCGATCGTGGCTCCAGCCGAAGGAGGGGCTATTACCTTAGGAACGGCCACGGCCGGGGTACTCGGTCGAGGGGGCCCGACTGATACCTTCTTCACTTTGGTGCCTTTGGGGGTAAGAGGGTCCCAATCAGCATTTTTTAGGGCCACCCTCGCGGCCTCTTCAACAGGCTGAATAAATCTGGCCGAGATACACTCTTCGTACCAGACCCTTCCATCTTCGTCATACGCATTACGACGCGACCAGGGCGTCAGAGTCAGGAAGGTCATCCCCTGTTAAAGCTGGAAGGTTATGCCAGCCACGCCTTGTTGCTGAGAGACATCGGCCCTCCATGACGAGAGCCGGTTGGTTGACAGAGGAGGGAGTGGGGCCGTCTGGATTAGGCCGAACTGTCGCGCCACGAAGTTTGGCAGATAAACCTCGGCCCCGGCCTTGGACATGCCGCAGTGAAGGTCGCGCGTAACCAGGAAGGAGCCCCAGATCTCCTTCAGATCGTTCTCCGTCTCAACATCAGGAATGACGGAGAGGTCGTGAGTCAGGAACCGGGGGAACGGCCGAGTAAGGCAGACTCGGAACTGCGTACCAGTTCTCTCAGTCAGGCCATAGAAGAATTTGTAACAGAGGGCCGAGGTGTTATGCCTCCTAGGAGCTCGGGCAAATGCATTGGTCAGCGGCTCGGCGTCGTTAATATTAGCCGTCGCCCTCAGCTCTGGGAAGTAGGCTTGCAGCCAGAACTGGAAAGCCCACAGCGGACCGCCGTGCTTCGGTTTCATTCCATCAGTAACGATGTCATGAAGCGTACGGTAGATATGGCCGAGAAGGAATGGGCCGAGCCCTAGCCTGCCGCCCTGCGCAAGATAATCGGCCGCATGAGCAAACTCCAGGGTGACCTTGTTCGCCTGGGTGCAGAACACAAACTTGCACAACCAGTACAGCAAGAACGCGGCGTGTTCAACCTCGCCGAGAGGGGCAATGATGTTGTCTTCAGCGCTGTCCTTTATGCTGAAGTTGCTGTAGAAGCTGGAGTAGTTGAGCATATTCTTCGCCTTGTTCCCGGCGACTCTCGTGAGAGCGGGCCACATGGCTTTAAAGCTCTCTTCCACCTCAGGAGCAACGAGTGCGGCGTTCACTTCCACACCGAGAGGAGAGAGGCCAAACAGGGCGGCCATGTCCAGCACGGTCGGCGTCATCATGCCGAACCGAAAGTTCATAGTATTGGTGGCCGACGACCAGAAGCACAAGGCCGCGGCCAAGAGCGACCAATCCATGACGAGCGGCTGATCAAACAACTTGATCAAGTGGTAGATGCCTTGATCTTTCCATTGCTTGCCGAAGAAATGCTCCATCCTCGGCAGCCACTTCTCCCAGTCCGAGGTCACGGTCGGCCATTGCTGCTGCGGCCTGACAACGTTCCAATCTTGGAAGTCCCCCCCGTCAAAGGCCGAGTGGTCTACCAGGTTGTTCTTCAAGTGGGCCACAAGCCTCTCTGGCATTCCGCCATCAATGGAGGGGCCGAGGAGGCAGGAATCAGTAGGGGCACCATCGTCATCAGTCCAGTGCGCGATGATGTTGGGGAGGATCGAGCCCTGGATGTCTCGGCAGATTGCCTCGAACTCAGTATGGAAAGCTTGGGACCGAGCTTCGACAGATGTGGAGGTACTGGAGGCCATTGAAGCATATTTAAATCGAGTGTCTGAAGAGGAAAGGCGAAAGAAGGTGATGAACGTGAAGAACACTGGAAGGAAGTCCTGAAAAAGGAGGGGGGTTTGTAGGTTCTGGAAAGGGCGAAATTCAAAAGGAAATCGTGTTTTCAGGCAAGAGTTTTTTTGGTAAACCTGGAGGTTCGAGAGCTTGATAGGCTTGAGGGTTGGAGAGAAGGGTTTTGACAAAGCTTGGGCATCTGAGAATTCTGAAAGCATAAGGAGAGAGCAGGGAAGTTTGGGTTTTTATATTGGCGCTAGAATTCGAAACGAAAGGGCGTGTCTCTCTCGAGAGGCGTAACGTTCTGTCAGTACACTCAACAGGCGCAATGACGTGTCAAAAGCCCAGAGGCCGTCGCTTCCTCTGACAAAGCGAAGCGACGCCCTGGGCCATAATGACCTACACGACGTGCTTGAAGCATTAAATGCGCCGATTGACATGCGCATTTAATGCCCCAGTTGTCAATCACTTCAGAAGGAGTGCAAAGGGTCCATCCCTTGGCATCCATTCGGCCCCTACCTATGCCGAGGCCGAAGAATCCAGGGATGTGGGGGCAATGTTTGTGCCTAATAAATCACGACCATAAACTAGGCCGAAGGAGCCCCTTTTTCCTCGGCCCTAGCACTTTCTCGAGAAGCTGAAACGCAGCGTTTCAACAGGGTGCTTTGCCTTCCTGAAAACTGAGGAAAAATGCAAAGGCATGATCATCTCGGCCTCGATTATAGGCCGAGGCCGAGGCCGAGCAAAGTCGCGGCCAGAAGTATTAAAGTCAAATCATCACGTGATAGGCAGGGTCCCATGCTTCATTTAATGAAGTAGTGCCTGTTTAATGCAGCAAACCCACTGGCTGCGAATAAGCATTTAATGCATGAGGGAAGGTGGGAAGTGATTGAAGTCAGAATTTGGCGACAAGGATCAGAGTGATTAGACGCCAACATTCTCACAAAGCTCTTTGCAGCTTGAGAGATTAGGTGACCAGCCATCAGAGCAATAAATGCGTCTCCACGGCCAGAAGCGCAGAACTCACGATCAAGAGCGGCGGCCGAGATTCACCAGGATTTTAGGGGGTCACAACACCTTACTTCACGATCCCAAATGTCGATTGGACTGCCCACTTGCTCTAATCAGGCTCCACCACGCAGGATTTCAGCCTCGATTACTCATCCAGGAACCCCTCCTATAAATACAAGACTCAGGACCACGTTCAAAGGGTTCAAACACCAAACAAAAGCCTCCCACGGAGCAACTTATATTTTCCTGTAATGCACTTTCAATATTTTACTTGCATTTCTAGGAGTAGCGTTAGTATGTAAGGAAATCCATTCATCAATATATCATACGACCCTTGATCTTCAAGGCGCCGGAGCACCATCCTTGTTGTTCGTTCACTCACCCCATATATCATACGACCGTTGCTCACTGAGCAGCGCGCCGGAGCACCGCCCTAAACCCACCAACACCACCACTCGACGGCCTTGTAGTTCAGGCCGTGAACCTACCAGCCGAGACTAGTTCCTCTCTCGGCTACAATCGTTTGATTAGAAGACGAGTTCAAACAAGCGCACCATTTAAACACTTTCAACCACTTCAAACATCTCGACGCACGGTAGACCGTACTGGCACGCCCGCGCACAACCGCACCACACCTAAAAGCAGGAAACCGCGTGTCAACGCATATCCCCTCGGCCCGGAACCCCAGGCCGTGAGATTTGAGCGGCAGACAGGGACTGCTTGGGGAGTTTTCTAAGAATTCGGGTGGGGCTAAAGTTTTCTGAACCACTTAACCGTTTTCTAAGAATTCGGGTTGCGCCTCGCCCACGACCAACCTGTTAAGCAACATGAAATCGAATATGAAAGATGGCCTTTCTTTTGTCTGTTATGTGGAAGATTAGACCGTGTTGGGTCAAATTGTGCATTGCGACAGTCCGGGGCGGTGGTTAATGAATAATACTGGAGGTAAACAACGATGATGAAATATGTGCTTAGCATTTGTACTGCAACGGGGTTACAAGGGAAGGCTTATGGGTTGGGAAGGAGTACCTCAGCGCAAAATCCTTCCCGCGTCCAGTGCAATCAAATTGTTGGTGTTGTGAGGCCATACTCAGATGATATACAAGAGCTGCTAGACGTTGGGACTAGTCTGAAAGTAGACCTTGCGTCAGATGTCTCACAAGTACAGCAAAATACTAAGAAACGGTGAGTGATGGTTGCCCCTAATGAGGATGGGGAGGTTGAGCCCTCTACGGCGAATATTATGACTAGCTTTTATGACGTGCCAGTCATGGTTGCCTATTCCTTGGCGGGGGAGAAAAGTGGTGGGGAGGATGCTCCTATTGCACCATGTGGGAAAAACAGTGTGATTTGGGAGGCAAAATTGAAGTTGTCGATTCACATGGGCCTCTATCCTCGGAAGGAAAAAGTACAAAAGGGTGAAGTAGGGTTTCATAGTGGCAGTGCTCAACCTCGAGGAAGCCAAACCAAGGGAGTTCTTAATAAGCAAAATGGAGTTACATAATCTACAGTTACTAACAGTCTAACTAGAAAATCCGTGATGGGTCCCGGTTCATGGGCCCATCACTAGAAATGACGATCCTAGTATGGAATGTTCGTGGTTTGGGCAATCCACAAACATTTTGGGCTCTGAGATTTTTGCTCATAGAACAAAAGCCCCGTTTAGTTTTCTTAATGGAGACGAAGAAGACTCAATGTCAAATGGAATTGGTGCTACGAAAGTTCGGTTTCTTAGGAGGTTTAGATTTGTTATGGCAAAACGATGTCCAAGTCATTATCAGGTCCTTTTCGCAAGGTCATATTGATGCAATAATTTGGGGATTGGTGAATACCACTTTCCGTTTTACTGGCTTCTATGGTAACCCAGAGACGAATTTGCGCAAATATTCCTAGGACTTGTTGTGGCGTATTACAGGGGATGTTGTTGGACCTTGGCTGGTGGGTGGAAATTTTAGTGAAACTTTAACGGCCAGTGAGCATAAGGGGAGGAGATTTAGACCTATGTCACAATTGCATGATTTTGGGGCTGTTGTTGAGGACTGTGGGCTTTTTGTCACTCCAATTCAAAGGTTATAAGTTTACTTCGAACAATAGACGGCATGGTGATGGTAATGTACAGCTCCATTTAGATAGGTTATCAGCAAATGCAAAAATGATGTCAGCATGCCCGGATATATTCACTTTGCATGTCAACTCTCATGTGTCGGATCATCTACATTTTCCTACATGTTTTACCCCCAAATCGGACAGCGATAGGTGAAACGGTTCTTTTTTTAGGAGATGTGGAAAATAATGGATGGATGTTAGGAAACCATTTTGAATGCTTGGGTAGGGAGCTCTGGGTCAGTGACGAATAAATTAAAGGCCTGTCATCTTCCCTTCAAAATTGGAATAGGGAAACAATGAGTAATATTCCGACAAAGATTAAGCGGTTACTGAGTCAGTTGGATTCTACACTGGGAAGAGAACCAAACTCGACCAGATTACAGATTCAAGGGGGCCTCAGACGTGAACTTGATACTTTGATGGAGCACGAGGAACTTTTATGGCGATAGCGGTCAAGGGTCTCTTGGCTCAAATTTGGAAACAAAAAGACAAGATACTTTCATGACCAAGCTAAGCATCGATGGAGACAAAATAGACTAAAGGGGATTTTTAATGAGCAGGGGCAGTGGTGTACATCTCATGAGGATGTTGGCTCCATCTTTTGCATGTATTTTCAAACTTTATTCATGTCAAATGGTAGTAATTCTTATGGTGAAATTTTGGAGGCTATAAGGACTGTGGTTTCTTGAGAGTAGTAGAGGCAACTTTGCTTTACTTTCACAAGGGCAGCAATTGAGTCCACTCTAGGTCAGATGTTCCCAACAAAATCTCCGGGGATTGATGGGATGTCGGCATTGTTTTATCAAAAATACTGGGATTTGGTGGGAGATCATGTGGTGGCTTTCTATCTCAATGTTTTAAACTGTGGGGCTAGTGTTAAAGACATCAATCACACTCTGATTACACTTATACCAAATGTGTTTTAATCGACAAGAGTTACAGAGTTTCGCCCAATTAGTCTGTGCTCTATGTTGTATAAAATTATCTCTAAATCAGTGGTTAATAGAATGAAGTTTTTGCTGCCGGTGATCATCTCAGAGTTTCAAACTGCTTTTGTTCCATCTGGATTGATTACAAATAATATTATTGCTGCATTTGAGAGCATTCATGCTATCAAGCATCAAGGTCGAAGTAAATTGAAGAAGATGGTTTTGAAACTTGATATGTCAAAAGCATATGACCGAGTTGAGTAGCACTTCCTACGGTCAAATCCTCAAGAAGCCTTTATATCACAAGTCAAGGTGCAAGCAATCAAAACTCACCTTCATGCTGTCAAATTCCTAGCAAATTAGTAAGAAGATGACACTTCTCATGCTTTGGAGCCTCTCAATCAAGTCTGAAAAAGATACATTAGCCAAGAATCAGCCGCCGGAAAGGGATGCTTATTTTATGAAGATGAATGCTTCATCAACCAAGCATTTGACAAATTCACATGGCATAAAACCAATCCACAGGCCAAGAAATTTCATTTCATTCAAGCATTCCAAGCAATTCAAGCATTTCAAGCAAATTGAAGAACTCATGCTCTCATGACAAAACCATACAACATCATGCTCTCACGACAATATTGCTCAAGATCATGCTCTAGAAATGCCCAGATCAGCACTCAATGCCAAGAGAAAGGACATGCTAAATTCTCAAACAAAAGCAACATGCCAAGCAAAACTTATACACAAGTTTTCCAACTATTCTAGTTGGAACATCCCACCTTTGGGAAATCACTAGAAATCAAGCTTACAACAAACAAATCCCAAACTCTCCAGATTAGAAGTAGACATGTCAAGCTTCATTTCCCCAAAATTTTGTTGCATTTAGAGCTAGGGAAGCATGTCAAACAGATTCCCAAAACATG